ACGATGATTTTATTAATTATGGTGACAGAATAATTTTTATGACTAAGACCCATACTTTTAGGCTAGCAACTGCTACCTAACACCTCCTTTTTCTTTTTAATGAATGGACAATACATTTTTTTGAAGGTAAAATAAAAATGGATAACACATTGTAAGTTTGTAATCCCAAAATACAATTGTTCCCTGTTGACCCCTCATCTTACCACTGAATCACCCAAAGTATTTGCTGCTCATTGAGGCCATGGTCATCTAACTTTATTGTTTTTACTATATTTTCAAATTTACACATGTAATTAAATACTATTTATGCTGCGTAACCATGCAATATTTCACTGCCAGAGTGAAGTGTGATATGACTTGCAAATCTTGGATGAAAAGGAATATTTTGAGTTTTGATGAGATGAGGTGTTTGGATGGAATAAGTGGAGGATTTCCACTAAATTCCTTTGAAAAGAGATATATTGAATCGAATCAACATTTATGAATGTCAATGTATGCTATGTCACCAGCAATTAGTACTTCAGCTCCTTAAGCTCATTTATACTAGTGCTCATTATATATGATTACTTTTCATAATATTTGGGTATATAAGTATTAATCACCTCTTTATTAAATTCCATTTTCCCTATGTCCTTCAAACTAGGAAATTTTACACCATCTTGAAACTTTGCATGAAATTCTCAACAAGAATTCCCATGTTTGAGGTGTTGAAATTTCCATGGAAACCAGGATATCTATATCAAATATTAGGGAAGCTGGATGGAAAGAGGGAGGAGGGAAGGTCAGTTCCTGCGAGCTAAAAGATGGAAGAAAGTTTTGAAGGTGGAAAAAGGACAATGGGAGGAAAAGGGGACGGTAATGCAAAATTTTTTCATGCGTTGGCTAATGGGAGGAGAAGAAAAAATTATGCGGCCAAATTAGAAGTGGATGGGGAGGAAATCACAAATCAAGATGAGATAGCAAATGTGTTGGTGGATCATTGTAAATCAATTGCAGGGAAGCCTCTGAACAATAGACTAAGGTTGGAAGGTCTAGATTGGCCCAGGCTGTCTGAAGAGCAAGCAAGATGGTTAGAGAGGAGTTTTGAAGAAGAGGAAATTAGGCATGCAATGTTTTCAATGGATAGATCCAAAGCCCCTGGACCAGATGGCTTCACCATGGCTTTCTATCAAGATTGCTGGAATGTGGTAAGGGAAGACCTTTGTGCTGCTTTTAAGGAATTTAAAGTTAATAGCAAAGTAAGCCCTGGAGTTAATGCCACTTTCATAGCTCTAATCCCTAAGAGAAAAGAAGCAAAAAACCCTAAAGACTTTAGGCCGATTAGTTTGGTGACTAGCATTTACAAAATCCTGGCTAAAGTGTTGTCCTTAAGGATTAAAGTAGTGCTACCTTCCATCATTAGTCAAGTAGGTCTTCCTCTTGGAGCCAACCCTAAGGAGAGCACATTTTGGGCCCCGGTTTTAGAAAATTTTGAGAAAAGGTTAGCCTCGTGGAAAAGGAACTATATTTCTTCAGGGGGAAAAATTACCTTATTGAGAGCTTCCTTAGCAAATCTGCCGATTTATTTCTTTGTGTTTAGGATTCCGGTCAAGGAAGCCAAGAAACTAGAGAAATTAATGAGATTTTTTGTGGGAGCTAGGGGAGGAAAAAAAGGATCACTTAATAAATTGGGGAATAGTGTGTAGGAGGAAAGAGGAAGGTGGATTGGGACTGGGAAATTTGGTTTTGAAGAATAAAGCACTCCTAGGAAAATGGTTGTGGACATGGCCCCTAGAACAGGAGAGACTTTGGCATGAGGTGATAGCTAGCATACATGGCAGTTTGGGCAATCGATGGGATGCTGGTGTATCGCGTCGAGCCACTCTGGCAACTCCTTGGAAAGCAATTCAAAGTATTCTTCCCCCTTTCCTCAACTGTATCAGGTATGATGTCAATTCTGGTACTTTTGTTTTGTTCTGGGAAGACATCTAGGTGGGCAATTCTGCCCTTAAGGACATCTTCCCTTCTCTCTATTCCATTTCTTGCTACAAGGGTAAAACAATTTCTCATTTTCTCCCATCACCTAATTCTCCATCTTATTTGAGTTGGGACTTTGGGTTTTGTAGGGGTTTGAGGGATCATGAACTATCTTATGTTTCAGACCTGTTGTCATTGCTTGAAAGTGTTTTTCTGGACCTTTCCAGTTCTGATGTGAGACTTTGGTCTCCAAACCCAAAAGGTTATTTCACATGTGCTTCCTTTTTCAAGTCCCTTTGCTCTCCCTCGGGACAAGTGGGGTTCCCAACTAAGGAGATTTGGTCTAAACCTATACCTCCTAAATATTTGGGGCTACCTTTGGGAGGGAACCCAATGGTTGAGAGTTTTTGGTACCCTATAATTGAAAGATTCTCCAAGAGGTTAGCAAATTGGAAGAGGAATTACATCTCTTTAGGGGGTAGGATAACCTTAATCAAGTCAACCTTGGCCAACCTGCCAGTTTATTTATTGTCTACCTTTAGAGTACCAATGAAAGTAGCTAATGAGTTAGAGAAGATAATGAGGGATTTCTTGTGGCAACCAAGGGATACTAAGAAGGATCACTTAGTGAAGTGGGAGGTGGTTTCTAGGAGTAAGGATGATGGAGGCCTTGGGTTAGGAAATATAAGATTAAGAAACACGGCTTTGCTGGGGAAATGGATTTGGAGACTACCGATGGAACAGGACAAGCTTTGGTCTAGAGTGATTGTTAGTATTCATGGATTGGCAAATAACGACTAGGATGCAGGACTCGACCCTGGGGCTTCTCAGTGTTCTCCTTGGAAAGCTATTCAAGGTATTTTGCCTCTTGTGCTTCCTTATTTCAAATATGATGTCTGTGCTGAAAATAAAGTCTTGTTTTAAGAAGATGTTTGGGTTGGTGAAAACTCCCTTAGAAATAGATTTCCTTCTATTTACTCTTTGTCTGAAAACAAAAAGAAAAGTGATCTCGCCAGTGTTTGTTGATAACTCCTGGGATTTGGGCTTGAGAAGAGGTCTAAGGGATTCTGAAATGGGGATGGTTGATGATTTGATCACTCAGTTAGGGGAAGTCTTTCTTGATCAATCTTGTAGAGATAGAAGAATTTGGAAACATTTCCCTTCTGGTTTTTTCAATTGCTCTTCTTTCTATAACATTTTGCTTCAGACCTCTAACCTTGTAGGGAACTTTCCTTCAAAGGAGGTGTGGGGTAGCCCTGTACCCCCTAAAATTCAGACATTCTGTTGGGAAGTGGTACTCCAAAAAATCAACACCTTAGATTTATTGCAGAAAAAGAGACCAAATATGTGCCTCTCCCCCCATGTTTGTTGCCTCTATTTGGGTTTTGGTGAGACAATTTCACATTTACTAATCTCATGTCCCTTTGTGTTCTTTATTTGGTCTTGGTTCTCTTCTCTCTTTGGCTGCAGGTGGACTCCCTCCTCAAGCATGGTGAACCTCTTTGATCCAGCTTTTTACAGGCAACCAATAGTTCACGGAAGGAATATGTGGAGAGCCACTAGAACTGCTGTATTGTGGTCAGTGTGGGAGGAAAGAAACAATAGGATCTTCAAAGGCAGTTGTAGATCCAAGGAAGAGGTTGTGGAAGGAATAACTACTATGATTATCCATTGGTTGAAATCCTATGATCTTTTTAAGGATTTCTCAGTTGAAGACATTTATAGAAGTTGGGGTATTGTGGCATCTACTACTACTTCCAAAGCTATGATACAGGAATTTTGGTCCCCACTGGCACAACAAAGGGTGAAACTGAACTTTGATGGAAGCTCTATAGGTAATCCAGGCCCATCTGGTATAGGAGGTGTTTTTAGAGATAATGAAGGCAAGATAATGGCTCTGTTTTCAGGTCCAATAGGGGTTGGAGATTCCTTAAGAGCGGAAATCTTGGCACTAACATCAAGGTGTAAAACTGGCCAAACAATTGGGGCTACAACAGATTGAGATAGAGGGAGACTCCAAGTTGGTAATTGGGATGCAATCAGGGCAGTTGGGAATTTGGCAATATAGACAGCTGATAAGGGAACTTCTTAGCATAATAAGGGAGGTGGGTGTTTGGTTCAAGTGGGTAAGGAGATCAGCAAATGGTTTTGGTGATGCCCTAGCAAAACAAGGGACTGTAAGGGAGAGTCTTTATTGGGCAGTGTTGTAATGTTTGATGTTTATTGGATCAACATTTTCTAATAAGGGTTGACTTCTGTATTTCAGTTTAATTTATCTCTAATGAAAGTTATCGCTTCTGATAAAAAAAAATCCATGGAAACCATAATCTCAAGTCTTGGTGTAGAAAATATGGAAATGCATCAAAACCATGGACTACTGGTATATTATTACTTTTGTGAAGAAAGGTAAAGTATTGTGTATTAAACTGATAACAAAACATATACAAAGACCTGCAGAAAAAGGTACTGGACAAGGAATAGCATCCTCTTTGTACACCACAATTTTGCTCACCTAGATACAAACAGATTACTACCATAAAAAAGAAAAAAAAAAAGATCTGCATGCTACATTCTAGAAAAGCCTATGTTCTGCCACCCAAGAGTATATGATTCCCCAAAAATCTTCGTTACTGTATGAAGTTAAATTTATTTTCAAATAATCTCCTATTTCTCTCCTATCCACTGGCAGATTATTATTATGGATATTTTAATTCTCTTTATAAAGTCATAACTCAAAGCACAACCGACAAAGTGTTCCCTTTTATAGCAAAAGGTTCCATCCAATACAAGCTTGAATACCGTATCATTGACATGAATATGGTGATATGACCGTTTTTGTAATTAATTAGAAGCTTTTATCATGATAATTGGTTAAGTGGCTATCATTAATAATAATGCTTTAGAGATCCAAAATTTATAATCCTTTTTGCATAAATAGCCTGACAAAAGAAGAAACCAGTAGCCATGTATTCATATGCAATTAGAAGTTGAACAGTTACAAGGTTTAGAGTTCTCCACTACTTGTAAATCTCTGGTAACAATACCTTTGCTCTCCTTGCAAATTATTAAGCTCCGCAATGAACCAGGCAATAGCATCGCACTCCATTGCCACACATCAGAAGAATAAGTCGAGGAATTCAATGAAAGAAAGTTCGAAACACAATAGCACAACGAAGAGCAATCAATCAATTGGATAACCAAGTAGGACCTAGAAAAGAGGGAGCATAAATAAATAAACATATAAAGGTGTTTTAGTAACCAGAAGTTACTGATCAACAAAAAAAAGTAACCAAATAACATGTAGAAAGTATAGAAAGTACATTTTAATCAAAATTGAAAAATCACTTGAACCTTTTTTCTTAACAGGAAAACAACCGTGTGAAGAAGTTAGAAGTGTCCAACTAGCTGTACATTTTCTTGAAACCGCTGACGCCATCGCCATCAGAAGAGGAACCCCAACTCCCAAGGGGGAAAATATAATAGAGTTACCTCTGGCAAACCCAGATTTCATACTCACTTTCTCTACCCACACCCTATCCACCGTGCACTGCAGCCACACATCTAACACTACAAGATGGCGATGTGTGGCTGCAATTCAAGGTGGGTAGAGGGTTGTGTGCAGGAAATCCGGAGTGACCTCGGGCACACTACCATAGGAATTAAAAATCCTCATGGAGTAATCAGATCCATTAATATCCGGCATTACGAATATTACTCCGTCTGCAAGAATACCAAAATCTCGATCACCGAGCTTCACCGCTTGCTGAGGATTATCCCTAGGCTCTAACGACTCTCGATTGTCAACCTACTCAACCCGTATTTCCAAATACAAAGAATAGGACCAATAGGGGTTACCAGAGAACAACGAAGAGAAGAAAAGTAACTCAGAGATGATCGTATAAAGATGAGGAAATCGACATATGTATACCGAGATGAAATCGAATATCCACTCTCCTTTCGTTCTAAAAAAGAATGTTGGGGGTCTTTCTCGGGAGCTTCGAAGTTCATCCTTCATCGAATATGCCGATATACGAAATGTAGGGTTTCGAATTCGAAGAATGGCCCCTGATTTGAAATTTTAAGTTGGAGAGAAGATTGAAATGATTTAACACATGCATGCGAAAGGTGAGAAGACGAAATGGAGAGGGAAATGGGTCCGGCGCTGCTCGCCAGGGGAAATTGAGAGTGAAGTCAGGGGAACTGAGGTGGTTATTTTGTGTAGTAGGTAGCAATCTATGATGCCGGAACAGTATGACACCGGAAGGACATTGACTAATCGAGTAATAATCAGATTTCAAAACCCCCGGTGAAATGTGATGAATACCAGTTGATTATTAGACCAAGTCAACGTTTGTGCTAGACGAAGCTCCATGTTACAAGTCACCTCACTAGCACGTGCCCCTTACGGGCATCTCTGGAAAGAAGATAAGATGGCGGGAAGAGAGTGAACGTTTATAACGGAATAAAAGACCTCTCAGAAACTGAGTTACTGAGACACTAGAAACATGTCTCAGCTGTCTAACCTCTATCTCTTTGCTTACAATTCTCTTCAGGCTTTCGGATGGTACTCTCTCCTTCTCTCTCATTTCTCTTTTTTTTTCACGTTCTTTTCTTTCTCACATTATTCGTGTGCTTTGGCAGGGTAATCTCTCTCTTTAGGGTTTTGAGCAGCTTCGCCTCAACCAAGTCCTTTCAAGGAGCATACGCTTCTGCCGGAGATCTTATTTGTGAGTTTTGATGGATACCGTCAACGCTTAGATTCATATAAAGAAAGTAATTTGTTTTCATTGTTTCTTTCCTGTTTTGAAGGTTTGCTGCAAACTGTTTCGTTCCTGGAAGTTCTACATGGTGCCATTGGTATGATATATAGGGTTTAATTTTTTATTTAAATTTCACTTCCTTATTTCTCAAATTAAATGAAATAAAACGAAAAGGAAAGATAAGTTATCTAACTGGAATTGGTTTGATTTTCTTTGTCAAATTTGAGGTCTTGTTCCCAGTGGGGTGCTGCTTCCTCTGATGCAATGGGGAGGGAGGACTCATTTCCTGTTGGCAATTGTTAGTCAAATTGTTGAGGTATCTATTGTTCTAAACTCAAATGCTGTAGCTTAGATACTTCCTAAAGTATATATATGGGTTCCCAATGAATCGCGGTTCATTTTTTTTTCCTCTGTAGGTTCAGGATCTCCCATCAGTTTTCATTACGTTTCTAGCATGGAGTCTAGGTGAGGTATGTTGACCATGTTTCCTCAATTCTTTTTCTGCCTTTCCTATCATCCATGAATCATATAGTTTGTTGCCCAAGGTTTCTCAGAAGTGCTGTCTCAGATCAAATTATCTGTTTATAAAATGTCATATGTGATTCATGATGGCAGAAATGCATATGTTGAGGTGGATGAGTAGAAGAATTAGAAAGGATAGGGTAAGAAATGAAGTCATTTGAAGGAACCTATGAGTAGCTCCAATGGGTGAACAAATGAGAGAAAGTAGGCTTAGAAGATTTGGTCACGTGCATAGAAGACCTTCTGCAGCACCTGTAAGTAGAAGTGATCTGTTGCAAGTTAAAGGGGCTGCAGACCAAAAAGGACATGGTTGAAGTAATAAGAAATGATTTAAGCACTTATAATTTAATGATGGATATGACACTAAACAGAATGGAATGGTGAAACATGATTCATGTAGCTGATCCCATATAGTTGAGATAAGGCTTAGATGATGATGATGATGAGATTTACTTCTGCAATACTTTGGTGCTGTAATGCAATTATTCTAGAACTGAGCCCTAGTTCCAGAAAAGATTCTTAGGAACTCTACTGTGATATTAGGACTATTTTCTCCTATATTATTCACTTCTTTGTGTTTTTGGTGATATTGTCAAATGTGGTTGTTATTAACAAGTCAATCACTTAACTTCCATAAATAAGTGAACTGTTTCACTTTTCAATTTCCTTTTGCTGAGTTCCCCATTATCCCTTGGTTTCATCAATTTTCTCCTTTTCCTGTACTTGGAATTTTTCCCTAAGGCTGTGTTTTGATTGCAGGAATGGATTTAGAATTGGATTCCGTTTCACCTCAATTCCATAGATTGAATTGATTAGTACCCCTATGTGCATGTGTTCCCAAGTGGTTTGGAATATTTCATTCTGCAAAACCACAAAACTCCCAGGCCAAAAGTCTGTATTTTGTTAAATTCTTCTCCACTATGGAAACAGATCCAAAAGGTCATAGACTCGTGGAATTGGACCCCTCAACTTCACCTCCAATTCCAATGTTGCCATGAAGCAAGACATTGTAAAATATTCATCAACTTGATATCTAATTTCTAAATCCTACACCCTAAGCCAATCCTTATTCTTGTTAGATTGTTCCAACTTCAAATAATCATCATACTTTCTTCCCCTTGCTAACCAAACCCTAATTTTTATCACTTATTGTAACTTCTTTCATATCTGTCCTACATTAGATCATATTTGTCAAGCCATGAAAGTTTCAACTCATCACATCTTTTTGCCTCAGAAACTACTCCTTTTAAATTGCTCATGTGACAGTTTATGGTATTTTAATTCTTGCTTCACAAATCTGTTTGCATGAAAGGATGACTGAGATTTTCCTAGTCTTAATGGTGAGCATTGTTTAGAAAACCAGACTGGACCGGTCGGTTGGGCCGGTTAAACCGTGACTCAATACTCTAGCTGGTTTGGTCATATATTGCAAAGCATGATTAATGAAAAACCAGCCAAACAGGAAAACCAGTGAACTGGTTCCGGTTTTATGACATCGCCTGGGTCATAACATGAATAGAAACTTTAAAATGTTGATGACAAGACTTGAACCCAAGACCTCTTATATGTATTGTCTTGTTACCATTAACCCATTTCTTTCTTTGCATTTATTTGTAACTTTAATACACGTATTTTAAAGAAAATGTGAGTTAAGAGACTTGAACCCTAGTCAATTATTTTTAAGAACTTAGAAAAAACCATCTATCAACAACATGCAAGTGTAGTAATACTTGTAGTATTTATATGACCTATAAAATATATATGTATATGCCATGTCATTATGGTTTGACCTTTGGTTTGACCATGGTTGAACCTCTGCCCATGAGCCTCTCCCTTTTCTGGTTCTATGCTCGATCTGGTTCTCTGGACGTTGATGATGAGTCACTATTGTTCCTCTAGAGATGCTTTGAGTTTGTCTCAACTTATTACATTACCTTTTATAGTATAAAATAGAAATGATATATGTCTGTCTCCTTTTGGCTGATACAGATAATCAGGTACTCACATTATGCTTTGAATTGTGTGGGAATTTGTCCATCTTGGGTTATCCACATTAGGTATGACATAGTTACACTAAAATTAGAAACCAACAGTATCCATACAACACCTACAACAGTAAAAAGTGCATCTCCAAGCAAAAGCTAATCGCCTTTTCTTCTTTTCATAAGGTACACTGCATTCATTGTGTTGTATCCTGTTGGTGTGGCTCTTGGAGAAAGTACTATTCACTCTCATTCAGCCCTTTCTGTTTCCCAGTTATCAGATGAATTTGCTTTATCTTATTTGTTTGTATTTATAGTGAATTTGTCTGGGAAGTTCCGTTGACTGCTTGTTTCCATGCAGTGTGGCTTATGTATGATGCACTTCCATTTATAAAGAAAAACAACCTCTATGCGGACTTCTTTTCCAGCTTCCACTTTAGCTATTATTCTTTTGTCAAGGTATGCAAAACAACAAATTTTTGTCTCTGAAAAAATGTGTGTTACACTTTGGATGATGGTAGCCGTCCTCCTCAGCCCTCTCCTGAACCAAAGTTCTAAAAGGATAAGAGCATAGTTGAGGCACAATGGCCTCAAAATTATATATAACAAGAATACATAGATGCACTAGAACATAACAGACAATTTTAACACTTGCATATACAAATTAAATAAACACGTAGACACAAATTAGAAACTAATTCATGGAAACATGGAAACACATTGAATAAACACGTGTAGTTGAAGACACATAAATCGATATAATAGTGATACAAATTGAACAAATATTTAGCACTAGGCATAAATCCTTTATGCTTTTTTTTAATAATTTTTACATTTATTTATTTATTTATTTTACTTCATGGGGCTACACAATTGGGGATAGCCTGCCCCCTATACCCATACCACCCCCCAACCTTGGTGACAGTGGGATTTGATCCAAGTCTTCGCTACAACCTGTGAGAGAACTTACCAACTGAGCCGCCATCAGTGGGTGATATAAATTCTTTTTGTTGTCATTTAGTTTTATTTCATCATTAGTGACTAAAATATTCCTCCAAGTACATGCTAAGCTTCAAAATAAATACAAAAAAAAGACATTTTTTCTTCCATTAAAAATGTCTTAAGGTTGCTAACTTTTGAGACTTATGCCTTTTGTAGCCTCGCCTTGAGGCATGAGGTATATGCCTCATCAGACTGGGGCCCTCACCTCAACTCAAACCTGGTCTGCTATTATGTGCCTTGCCTCGAGGCATACAACTCATGCTTCATGGCTTAATCTTTTTAAAATCGATTCAAATTACATGTACAGGGATGTAGAACCTGGTATTTGTTTCTACAGAATGGTTCGGAAATTAGCTTGATCTTACAATTCTGAACATCTGGCTGTCAGGCCACTCTTTGGAACATTTTCCATATTCTTATTTATTATCTAAACCAGAATATGGTCTATCAGATGGTGACAATCATGTAGTCCACTTTATGTTTCCTTCAGATCTCTCTTAGGTGGAAGCTTATCAAGGGAAGCATTCTAGATCTATGGTGCATAGTCACCTTGGGTGCAATACTTCTATATGATAATAGGGTTTTTATCCTACTTAGAGATGCCACTGTGGTTCTCATGTATTCTTAGTGTTTTTTCTTTTATTATGTTTCTGGGTCTCATTATTTTCTTTTTATTTGAGCCAGGTTCTGCTTGTATGCTACCCATTTCTGTGGTTGAAACTGTACTTGCATTTGTTTAAGCAACGGCGATCAAAACTGGGGAAACTCCATAGGAAGAAGAAAAATTGAAGGTTTGGACAGAGGTTCTTTCAGTTGTACATGTTGATTAACTGTCAATGACTCAATGGTGGCCAAACTTATGAAACCTGTTAAATAGTTAGATTGAATATTTATGGCCCTATTATGATCATATTGTTCTCATTTGTGTTCCTTCTCAGTGGATCTTGAGTTGAACCTTGTAAAGACAGTTTCATTTTACAGAGGTTTGGCTTGGGAAGGGCTCAAGCATTTCACTGCTTCATGAACAATGCATGATGCACATGGAAAACAATATTGATGTCCCACAACCAGGATAATGTGGCTTCTGGTATATATGTATTTGACAGGTGGTTTCCTGGGCTGACCTGAACCAGAGTCATCACTGTTGTGGGCTGGATGGTTGGATGTAGCTGGATGCTGGATACCTGCCTGAAGTTGTGGGCCTTTGGCCTCATCAATCCCACCCCCTTTTGGAGGCACCTTGTCTTCAAGGTTGAAATGAGGGGGCTGCTGCTGCACCTTAGAGAAATCTTTCCATGTAGCATCTTCAGGAGGCAGGTTCTTCCAAGAGATGAGAGCTTGCTTGATAATCTTGTTAGCTTGCTTGATCCATCTGAGGTCCAACACTTCCTTTGGTTTCTACCCGTAATGCTCCTTCTGTAAATTCAGGCAGTAAGGGTGATGTCTTCAGAGCTGGGGCGGGGCTTGGCTTAAGTAAGGATACATGGATGCAATAGAAGCTCTCTGGGTTGCAGGGGCCTCATACTCGAAGTACCTTTCTGCTCTGTAGAGATATGATAGGTTGTATTATAGTTATACCAATACTCTGCCCAGAGTAACCAAGCTGTCCACTGTTTAGGTCATTCACCAATGAAGCATCAAAGATATATCTCTAAGAACTTATTAACAACTTCAGATTGACTGTCTGTCTGGGGGTGATAGCTTGTAGAATGCAGCATCTTAACTCCATGGGTCTTTAAGAACTCTTCCCAGAACCTTCTCATAAACAGGGGATCCCTGTCAGTAAGGATTGAGCTAGAAGTCCCATGCAGCCTGGCCACTTCCTAGATGTAGGCTCTAGCAACAGAAACTGCTGTATACAGATGTGGGAGGGCGATGGAATGCACATATTTGCTTAGACGTTCAACTATGATGAGAACCAGAGACCTCCCTTCTGACCTGGGTAGACCTGTGATAAAATCTATAGTCACATCCTCCCAGACTCTCTCTGGAATTGGTAGAGGTTGAAGAAAACCCACCTGTGACTAAGGGCTATACTTCTGTTGTCGGCAAGTGGAGCACTTGTTAACATAAGCCAGCGGTCTTCTTCATTCCCTTCCAGTAGTAGTTGGCAGCTATGCACCTATATGTTCTGGGAACTCCAGAGTATCCCCCTGCAGCTGAGTCATGAAATAAATTCAGTAACCCTTCAAGGTGAGTCAACTTACTGGGGATCACCATTCAAGAGGGTTTTGTATACCTGACACCAAATAGTTAGGATTAAGTCTGAGTTTAATTGAGATTAGTGTAGTTACAGAAGTTGTTGTAGAAATAGGATTAGTTTTCATTTCACTCTCCCTTTAACCTTGGGATTCAAGGTGCATTATTGATTGTGTAATTTGAATAGGATAAGTAAGAATTACACAACAACCAGGGTAGTACCATTCATTTTGAGCCCAAGCTATTGAAACTTAAGCAGAGCAATACCATAATATATTGTCATCAGCTCCTTTATGCAGTTCCAAATGGTGAATCCAATGGTCTAGGATGCTACATTGCTTGGCTTAGAGTTGTGCTACTCTTTGAATTGCTACAATGAGCTTGATTTTTGTTACTAGCTGGTGGAGTGTTGCTACTGCAAGTCCAACCATTACTAACTATTAATAATCTTGCTTCTCATTGCATGTGTAACTATCTGACTAAAATTATACGACTACTGGTTTGGTGCAAGCTCAATTTCATGGCAAATTCCAGTCTCTGTGGCATGGCATCACCTTCTTAATGGCCATGTAACCCTTTTTCATGCATCATGTACTTTAATGTTTTTTGTTTCCATTTGATTATCTTTGTCAATGCAAACATGCCATTTTACATTTAGGAGATTTTTTTTTTTTTTTGCTTGGTAACTTGAAATTTTTATTGATCTGTGATAAAAGAGGTAAGTCAGATTTTATTTAGTTCTTCCGTGTAACTGGTCCTGAATAGATAGCTAGGATATCCATTATGTAGGTGCCACTTCTTTCCTTTTAAGTAATCTACACGCTTGTCCCTTTCTTCAAGTGAAGGGGGTTTTAACTTTTAGGTGTGTGGGTTGGTTATACAGCTACCACCCTTCACTTCTATAAAATTCCTCTGGTCCACACCTCTTAATGTTTCCTGAGGTATCCAAGTAAGAAGAGACTAGAGAAAAGGAAAGAGAGAAAAACCATGAGAAGAGTACAAAGAAAAGAAAGAGGAAGAATAAAGAAAAATACCCACATGGCTTGGGAGGTTCTCTGGAAAACAATAATTCTTTTTTTCCAGTCCAGAATTACAGGTAGGAAGTTCTCTTCCATCATCTTGCTTTCTCCTTTCATTCTCCCCTACGTGTAAATTCATCTCCCTCTCCCCCCCTCCCTCTCTTCTTTTGTGAAGCAGAGAGAAAATGCCATCTACAGCCACGTCATTCAACTTGTCTAAGTATGGTCCTTTACAAAATGTCAAATTTTTGGAAGATGTAGAGGGAAACCATCAACAACCTTGTTATTCAACTTGACTGACTAGAGTTCCTTATGGAAATTCAAAGTTGAAGAAATGTGTCGGAGGATTATGCTATTGACAGCCTAGTTATTTAACCCAGCCGATTATAATCCCTTATGAAGTGTAAATCTCTCTATTTTTCATGAGATTCTTTGAGGGATATCATAAAGAAAAGACACCAAAATTTTCATTAGAATTTTGTAACGGAGTTCTGTTCCATAGTATGTTTTATTTATTTCTTCAATTAAATCAAAGTATTATCCTTGCCTTTTATTTCGTGATGATTCAATCAATGGGAGTTTGATTGATTAAAACCTTGCAAACATATGATGGTTGAATTTCTATTTTGTGCACATGCGGCCCATGCAAAGAGTTGGTCGCGTCGTGCCGGCATGCAGGTCGTGCTTCCCTTCCCCCAGGATAAGTTGGGGAGTCGGCCCGGCCCACTGCCCGAGCAGGTTGTAGGCCGTGTTGTGAGCCGAAAAGGGCCAGATATTTTTTATTTTTTTTATTTTGATTTTTTTTGTTAAGTAAAATTAAAATACTTAACTTTCCATTATGAACAAATTGAAAAAATAAAAATTCTAACAAAGAAATGAAAAAAATACTTAACAAAATACAAAATGCCAAATGGACAACGAATTGGAAAAAATAGGAATTTTATTTCATTTAAATTTGAAACTTGAACAATACATTGGTCAAAAAAATACTTAACAAAATGGAATAAAATATAAAAATTTTAATACAATTACAAATTGAAAATAAAAATTTATATTGTTGGAAAAAATAACAAATGATTTAAATAAAATTGAATAACAAAATTTATAATAATTTTAAAAATTGCTACAAAATTATTGAGTATACAAAAAAAAAATATTGGATTCATCAATTTTCTTCAAGTTCCACTTCTATCTCCATCTTGATTTTGATCATCTGCTTCAGGTGAATCATTAGGTGTAGTGTCATGCCCTCCTTTGTCTTATAATCTATTTTTAGCATCTAGCCCATCTTTGAGGTAGATGCACATCTCCATACTTTCACCATTTATGCAGCTTCTCGTCATTTAGCACCTTAGTACCTACACTAAAATAAGACTCGGATGGAACTGTAGACATCGGAAGGGTTAGTAGATCACGTGCCATGGTAGCAAAGACTAGATAATCTTTTAAATGTCCATTTCACCGGGCTAAAATGTCAAAATCATTCATTCCTTCCGAGTTGAAGGAATCACTTAAACTAGAAAAATTTGCTTGTATGTAAAAATTAAGTTCAATAAATGAACTTGTTGATGAGGTGGCATCAGATTTCTTCCTCCTATTTTTTAAAGACCAAACTTTATCTTTTGCACTACTGGAATTAGTTGTTGCAGAAGTGGTAGTTGAACTTGTACAAGTTGTAGATTTTTTATGCCCTACCATATGAGATTCATATAAATTATACATTTTTCTTTTTGATTTCCACTTTCAATATTCATATTTTCGCAATATGATTCAAGTAAAATATCTACACCACCTTTCTAATCCTAGGATCTAATATTGCAGTTAAACAATATTTTTTTTTTAAATTTATTTTCCATTATTTCAACAATGCTTTTAAATTATGGATTTTTTCTATATTTTGCAAAACATTCACTAATCATGAATAATTGATTAACCAAAAGACAACTAGTTGGGTAATAAACACCCGAAAATTCCTTAGTTGCATCATAAAAATTGTATAAAAAATCTCCTGTACAAATTGTCATTTTCCAATCTTTCTCAAGTATAATAGCATGTGGCATTTTTGAATTATAAAAATTAGTAAGAATTTGTTTGTAGGGAATACAACTTTCTAACATAAAATAGGTAGAATTCCATCTATGTTGAACATCTAATGTAAATGTTTAGATTTGAAAGCATAATTATGACATAAATATTTAAATTCTTGTTTTCTTGCTCTAAAACTTTTAATATATATAATACAATTTCTAATTTTAGAAATATGATGAAAAATAATATTTAAAGCATCTTGAATACATAAGTTTAAGATGTGACATGCATATCTAATATGGAATAATTTACCATTATTATAAGATTTGAAATTTTAAAATGTTTATTGTTGAATCATTATTGTTGGCATTATCAAAACTAATAGAAAAAAATTTATTATCAATTCTTTAAGCATGTCAAGTATTTAAAATTCTTACATCAATAGCCGAGCCAATATGTGACCATTCAAACCTAGTAAGACTTAAAATTCTTTTTTGTAAAAGTAAGTTTTCATCGATAAAATGGCTGATAACACAAATATCACTTATACTAAAATTAGAAATCCAAATATTAGAAGTAATTGCAACTCTAGAATTAAATTTTGTTTATATGAATAAAAAATTTTAAAAACATTTGCTCTAATAGTATTTTTAGAATTTTTTTCAAATTGAGTATTTGCATAATTATGTAAAAAATTTTCAAGTTTACTATCCTCAGTTAATAAAAATGGTTGTTTAGCATGCACAATATATTTTGCCAACTCTTGCTTCATTTTTTCTTGTGAATATTTAAAATACCAAACCCCCCTTCCCAATTTGTGTTTGAGATTTTTCTTTCCCTTCTTCTTGTTTCTCATGGGTGAGCAAATGTTTAACCAAGTGGCTAGTACCACCCTTGCTATAATAGCTAAAGTCATTCTTACATTTTTGCAAACGACCATGTCTCACTTCTCCTTAACCTCCCATATTTTAAATAATTCCCAAATCAGGCTAGTCAATTTAGTTTTCTTTCTCCTACCCCCAATAGCAGTATCGGTACTAGGGGTGGAATTCTGACAATTTCAGTAGCATCTATATCAATGCTAATGCTATCATATTGTGATTGAATATCGTCAACATTGTTCATGTTGAGGAATTGGTTTCGGGAGGAGTCGACCATTCAGTTCAAAATCTCAACTTGATTTCAATGGTCGAAGCCTCCAAGCATCTCAAATTGCTAACTTGAGATACTTGAGCAAGCCTTCTTATTGAAACTTGAAAAAAGTCGAGACTTGAGAATTTAAGAGTAGAGAGAGAGAGAGAGTATTGAGAGTATGAGAAAAGAATTGCTGAATTGGTGTGTGAGAATGGTGGAGAATTGGGCTATTTATTCCTATAAAATAATTTAATTGCCCAAAATACCCTAAAAATTAGTTGTTTTTTAGTCATTGAGATGGGTATTTTGGTCATTATAAAGTCATTTTATTTTACCCAAAATGCCCTCAAACTAACTGTTATATGGCTATTGGGGGCATTTTTGTCATTTTTTTCTCCCCTTAAAGCCAAAATACATAAATACCCCACTATTTTTGTCAAAAACCCTCCCAAAAAGTTGGAACTAGCCGTTAGGGACCTTGGGCAGGCCACATTCGGCCTGTTGTGGGTGGCATAGCATGCATAGTCATGCCTTACTGTATCAGCCTATGGACCTGAAACCCCTAGTCCAGCATGGCCCACACGATCATGTTGTGCCTAAAAGGTTGGAATGGCCTACGTGCCATCATGTCGGGCCGTGAGCGACACGACCTGATTTGCAACAGTATGCATAGCTTAAGAAAGGATAGCCCAATGCACAAGGTTCCCGCCAATATGGGGTATGGGGGTGGAAGGGGGAAGGATGTACACAACTTTACACCCTTACCCTTGCAAATTGCAATTTCTATCCGCTTCCAATCATGATGTTCTTCTGTTTGGTGAAACCTGATCACTCCTTGTCTCACCATTCCATTGTTAAATTATTAGCTCTTAAATTGTTTATATTAATATATTTCTTAAAAGGATAAATTGTAGATTTGTAGTGTTTAGAGAACTGGACTGGACAGCCATTTTGATCGAAAAATCATGAACAATCCACTGGCCGGTTCAATTAAGCCCTAAAAACTGAGCGGTGTTAAAAACCAACCGACTGATCTAATTGGAGACCCAGTGGAAGTGGTGAGGAAAACGGTTCTACCTACCCCCTCCTTATCTGAACACCGGTAAATTGCCGTTCCGGTATTGATATTTGAATACTTAAAAATTTTAGCCACGCATTACTGCGCATTACTGCGCATTACTGCGCTTCATTCTTTGATAGTTGATATATATATCACCTCTAATTTGCTCTATTCACGTTCACGAGGCATGGAAAGACGGAATCAATTCGTGTATGGTCATGTTGAGTTTGCGTCGGATTAAGGTCCGACCCGTACCAAATCCAGCCTGTTGACATCCCATCCTAAACGTGTGGATTTGGTCCAATCCTGTCCAGTCCAATGTGAGTTCACTTATAAACGGACTGGACTGGTCTAGTCCAAATCCAATACAAATTAAATCCAATCCAATCCATTAAAATGTAAATGGATTGGATTGAATTTAATTCAAACCGAATGAAATATCAAAAATTATATAAAAACACTTTTAACATTGAAAAAATATTTTTATAAAAATATTTTCATAAAAATATTTTCATAAAAGTGTTTTTACAAAAGCAGTTTATTGAAAGTACATAAGAAAAGTGTTTTTGTAAAAGTATTTTTATAAAAGCACTTTTGTAAAAGTATTTTTGTAAAAACACTTTATTGAAAGTATTTAAGAAAAGTGCTTTTGTAAAAGTACTTTCATAAAAGCATTTATAAAAGTACTTTTTTAAGTACTTTTGTAAAAGTACTTTTATAAAAGTACTTTCATAGACTTATAAAAGTATTTTTGTACAAGTGCTTTTGTAAAAGTACTTTTATAAAAATACTTTCGTAGAAGTGTTTTTATAAAAGTACTTTCAAAAAGTACTTTGGAAAAGTGCTTTTGTAAAAGTACTTTTATAAAAGTACTTTTGTAAAAGCACTTTTCAAAAAGTACTTCCAGACATAAAAGTACTTTCGTAAAAGTACTTTCATAGAAGTATTTTTATAAAAGTACTTTCATAAAAGTACTTTTGTAAAAGTGCTTTCGTAAAAGTTCTTTCATAAAAGTGATTTTCTAAAAGTGCTTTCGTAAAAGTGATTCTATAAAAATATTTTCGTAAGTTTTTTGATAAAAGTGATTTCAAAAAAGTGCTTTCGTGTAAAAGTACTTTCATAAAAATACTTTTGTAAAAGTGCTTTCGTATAAAAGTATTTTTATAAAAATATTTTCATAGAAGTGATTTTATGTTGTTTTCAGTTTTGGTTTATGTCTATTTTAAACCAATAAAAATATGAATCAATTTATTTTGGATTGGCCCAATCCAATAATTATAATGGGCTGTACAAATCTGATTAAATAAGATTTAGATGGGACTAGATCCAAACCAAAACCGATCGATTGACACCCCATCCCTAGCGGGCTATCGCTTGTTTGGTACATATGCCAAGACCCCCGGCCGGAAGCACAAGAAGACTGATTGATACCCTCATACTAACAGTTCTGTGCGCCGAAGAGACGTTCAGATTCGAACCACGGCAGCATTAGTGGATTATTGTGCCTCAATTCTACAAATCGACAAAAGTCACGTCTTCTTGTCATTTTTTTTTTCTTTTTTCTTTGTGGATATTCTACATGATTTGTTTGTTTCTGTTCTAGATTAATTAATTGTCTCTGCACTTCTATAATTCCAATTTCCAACAAATCCTTTCCTAATACTAATAAAGTATGTTTACTTTAACACCAGAGTTAAACGAATAACGGAATAAGTTTAACTCTTTTGGAGGCAGTAATAACGAATAATTAAGCAGTTGTATGAATTATGAAACTTGCTTAAGTTACTTTCTTTCATCTCTTTCAAATAGTAATTTGGAAAACGTTCTCTGCCGTTACAGTCTCTTTCCGCCATTAGACTTGGACCACCACCACAGTGAAGGACGGATTTTTACCCCAAAGTTCTGCCTCTTTCAGAATTAATGGTCCAATATAATTTCAAAAGAAAAAAAAAAAAAAAATCAATTGCCCTATGACAATGATGACTATACAACGAACACGAACTTTAGTAAATTCCCAGGAAAAGTCCTAAAAAGGCTCAGACAAGAGCAATTCGGATGAAGCAAATAAACTAGGTGTTTCTCATCATGGGTAAGCTGCCTAACTACCTTATGAGAGACATTACCCCCATCTTCTTCTAATCAACACTTGCAGAAAATATTTGGATTACGAGCTCTCCACAGCCAGAAACTTTGGACCCGCACCAATGTCCAAATCACTAGTCCGCCCGTGCTGTTATCCTACCTAGTTATACCAGCACTTTCATCAACTGAAACGAATATGGAGACTGGAGTCTGGACCCATCTCATCTCATCTCATTGACAGAAGAAAGGAGTTTCACCAATCACTACCTAACATCTCTCTCTCTCTCTGAATCTGAAATCATACGACAAAACAAAACGTCACAACCCAAATACCCATAACCCCTAACTGACATAATTGAATGGTCTATATATGCTTTATTACTAAAAATAAAGGACGAAAACCAAAAAGTGGCAAAGAATTTGCCACGTTGGAGACAAATACATCATTCAAATCATTGCCTTTGGTTGCACCATTTTATTTCTCTCAGTGGTACGGTTGATCACTCCATTTGAAGGATGAAGATGAAGCTCTAGGCACTCCACGACACCATCTCTCTCCCTCCCTCCCTCCTTCCCTCACTGTTACGCCGGCCCTCGGCATCATGATGACCACATCACTTTCATCTTCGGAGCCATGTTATGCGTACCATATTGGTTCTGGAACTGCTTTTTGCAGTCTAGATTCTACTTGTCTCCATTTCTCCAGCTTGCCACAGCAGGTCTCAAATGGCATCACCGTCACGCCGTCGAAATGGCTATCTCCGGCAGAGGACAGCCCAAGGCCATCACACTTACACGAGTTTCAGTTCTTGGAGACACATAATGTCGCAGCACCGTGCCGCTTTCTTGAGTCGAGAGAATATGCGACTCCCGTGATGCAACCAGTCACGACTGAATATCAGCAGAACCCGTCTACTACTCAACATCTAATACTTGATGCTTGTCGTAGCTCAACCAGCTCTTCAGTTTCTCCGTCTGGATCATCACCTTCTGTCGAGGTTTCCGTCGTCGGGCAAGCGGCTTCAAGTCCCACCTCCGTGAGTAATCTCTGGTTTTACTTTTAAGTCTCCCTTCTAGCTAGGCTTTACTTGAGTTGGGTCAAAGGACGCACCGACGCAGGACACCCATCCGGGTTTGAGGTTCCTATTAGGCTTATCATCACATGCCACGCCCCCCGGCGTCCTTGTTAATGATCCGAAGTCCGAACCTTCCACTTGATGGATCCCACATGAAAATGCTAATAGTTTGTTTATCAGGTCAATGTTTGGCTTGGACTCTTATAACGGTGGGTCCCAATCCATTGAAACGGCCAAAATGATACACGTAGCCGGTTACGAGGGTTAAGACGCGCAAACCATTTACGTGTCCCATGTCCCCGACACAAATTCTTCCTAATGGAGAAGTCTTGATCGGGTTGTAATAAAACCGAATTCGCCATTCGGGCACCTCTTTCATGCTATTTATTCTTTTATTTTTTTAGAGAAATCTTCTTTATCAGGGGAAAAAATAAAAAAGCAAACAAACTGCATTACTCAGACAAGTTATATGTACATGATGATGATGAAGACCTACTGCCCTAATTTTGTACAATTGTTAGCAGTTTCATTACTTCTTCTTCTTTCATATGAATCATATTTCAACAATCTCCATTGTCATCAATCCTAATACTGTTCACGATCCCCTGAGAGTCCGAAAAGAGGGTTGCTGAGTTGATGTTCAGTACTGTTCTTGCCTTCCCGAGTCCATGAATAACAGCCCACCCAATGTTTTTGAACCGTCGATGATTAAGATGGTCAGACTGTTTGGCCCAGGAATCATTTGGTTAACCGGTTCTGTTTTACCTTAAACTTGATCCTGACAAAAAATCGTTGAATTGGTCAATTTTTCATTGATTCAGGCAATCAAATTATTGATTCATTCGATTAGTTCAACGGTTTTGACCATTTTTTATTTTAATTATTTAATTGTTTTGTCAGAATGGACCATCCGTTCAAACTGAATGTCTAATCCAATCCATTGAATATTTTGGACTATTTTGAACCAGTCCATTTTTATGTCTGGACCATCAATCTGTTCAAATTCATGTTAATTTAGATTGGTTCCAACTCATACCTGACCCATTGACACCTGTGTTCTTATCTTCTATCAATGGATCAGATATTGATTCGATCCAATACAAATTCACTATGAACGGACTAGGTCCAGTCCAATATGTCTTATTGGTCTTTCCAATCCGTCCATTGACACCCCTATTTCCAAGAGGCTAGTTTAGCGTTCACTCGGCCAATTATCTTTGGATTTCTTCTGTCGCTCCATGCAGCTGTAAATCAATTTATCTAATCAATCTTATTAATAATCCTAAATGCAACCTTTTGAGTTTATTTTTGGGAATTGCATTCAAAGATCTAAAAATCTTAGATGCTGTTTGGCCATTCTTTTTGGGAAGATCTTTCGACAGCTACATGGTTAAAAAATGTAATGAACTTTTAGGGGTCTTGCATGTCTTTAAAGATCTAGGCCCTTTTTGTTAAGTATTTAAACTATCATGATTTAGAGAGATATTAGGCTGTGTTTGGTTGCAATGCAAATAAATTCACACTGATGCAAAACTATGGTAGTGCAAATGATTTGAGTGTAAATTCTTACCTATTTTTGTTTCAAATTATGCTTATTTTGTTTGATTGCATTTCAAATGAAGTAAATTAAGACATGAAGTAGAATAAAGTAAAACCCAAAACAAAATTAAATGAAAAATTGCATTTTTTTATTTACATTCCCATGCATTTGTATTAGTGCAAATAAAATTCCACTGCAACCAGGGTTTTAGGTGTAGAACAGGTTATTTGAAGCTTCTAGATTTTTGGCCATAGATTGTTGGCCATTTTTTATTTTCATGAGCTTTTTAAAACATTGGTCTTCCAAGCTTTAAAAAGCCCAAAAGGCCACATGAAAAGACTTGCCAAATGCCTCCTTAGTCTATGCTAAAGTGTCGCTTATTAATAAAAAGAGAGAAAAAGAAGGAATTATAGGACAGACAAAAAAAAAACACTTGAACCGCTTATTCTTAATTCAAGATTATTTCAAAAACTAGTTGGAGGAAAAGCCATGAAGTATTGAGAGAGGGAAACCATGTTTTACATCTAGGCTCCTTTGGTTTGCGATACAAAGGCTGGACTGGGGTATTTATGTACCCTGGTTCATGTTTTTGAGTGTTTGTTTAATACTTAAAAAAGTAATGATTATAGAGTAAAAATGTATTTTCTGACACTTTTGTACTCTGAAAAGAGAGCATTATTATATCTATTTTTTAAATACAATTTTATATTCTTTTGATAATTAACTTTTTTACAAATGTTAAGGCACGGGAGCATAAAATAGTTGGAGCATTTAATGATGGATCCACACTTTTACATCCATTTCAACCAAACAAGATAAATGCAAAAACAGTTTAAAATATAAAACAGAAAGGGATAGCACATTCGAAGTTGGTTGTGAATTGTGATTACTATAGTCTTGAAATCCTTGATACTTGCCAATATCCCCCACATCCCATGATGTGGGGATCCATCAGGATTCACCCACCGTTGGATGGTTCCATCTGGAACATGAAACACTGCAATTAAGTTATGGGGAGCCAGCAGCCCAGACCCAACACCAAGATAGTGAAAGTGTAACATACTCCTTCCTTGGTGGAGAGTAACACTATAACTGTTGTTATGATTTGTCTAACTCCTGTTCTATATATTTGGCAGATATTATTATTCACAGGAAGCATGCCAACGGACAATACAAGGGATAATTTTAATGAGATCTTGAGTAACTCGGCGGTGCTTGGCCAAGAAGACGACGCAGCAGCAGAGAGAAAAGCTAAGGTGATGAGATACAGAGAAAAGAAGAAAAAACGAAAGTTCGACAAGCAAATTCGCTATGCAACAAGAAAGATTCACGCAGAAGCGAGGCCACGGATAAGAGGCCGCTTTGCCAAGAGTTTAGAGCCCAATCCTGATGAGTGCTGACCAAGTTGGAACTGGATAGACTATTCCCTCCTTAGATGGGATCAGGATCAGTCAACTTAATTAGCTATGTCAAGCCATAACCAGCAATATTGTTATCATTTACTTTTCTTGTGCTTCGATCTATATATTTTTGTCTCTCTGAAGTCTGAACTGAAACCTCAAATTGAAGTGTCGCTCCCTATCTTTTTTCTTCTCGTTTGGTTCTAAGAATATAATCAGTTAATCGCATAAGGCTACGTTTGTTTGGGGTGGAAAATCGAACCGGCGTAAACTTTAAAATTACATCGAATCGATGTATTTATTATATCGCTCGCTCTTTCTCTCTCTCTTCTTCTTCTTCTCCTTCTCTCTCTCGCTCGCTCGCTCGCTCTCTCTCTCTCCTCCTCTCTTCTTCTTCTCCTCCCCCTTTTTTTTCTCTTTCCGCCGCTGCCACCGGCCTCGATGTTTTCTCCGGTCTCCACTACAGCCTGATGCCCTCCTCACTGAACTCTTCAGTCTTCACTCACCGTTGAGAGGAGACCCTCACTCATTCCCACCTGTTCCTCCTCTTCTCCCATCCCTGAGGGAGAGCGTTTAATAGAATAAAACCAGCCACAAGAAAGTTTTCGCTTTTCTTCTTCTTCTTCTTTTATATTCGTGCTCTGTTTCTCACAGAACCAGGGCATGGAACGTTTCACAGTTCCCTTCTTCCTATTAATCATCTCCATTGTTTCTTTTGCTGGTAAAAAAGGCTACCAAAACGTCTACAGATGCAGGCACAATCAGGATAAACTATGGCAGAGTAGCTAACGACCTTCCTTCGGCAGTGAATGTGGTTCAGCTTCTCAAGTCTCAGGGTCTCAACCGAGTCAAGCTCTACGACACCGACGCTACCGTTCTCAGGGCCCTTGCCGGTTTAGGAATCAGCGTCGTCGTTACCCAACCCAACGAGCAACTCTCAGCTGCCAAGTGACAGTCCTATAACGACACTTGGGTCCAGAAGAACATTGCCGCTTACTACCCGTCCACCCAAATCCACGCCATTGCCGTCAGGAACGAAGTCTTCGTGGATCCACACAATACAACCGAGTTCCTAGTCGCAGCGATACGCAACGTTCACGCCGCGCTCGTTAAATATAACCTCGACTCTGCCATTAAGGTGTCCTCTCCCATAGCCCTTGGTGCTCTTCAGTCCTCCTACCCGTCTTTTGCGGGGTCTTTCAAAACCAAGTTAGTCGCCGCCGTTTATCGTTATAAAACACAGTGGCAGACACTGTCTCTCTTTCTAATAAATCTCCCGCTGCAACAAACCAGAAAACAGGGTAACCTAACCAAACAGGACAGAGTGTAAATGGGCACAATGGCCAGTCCGTATTTTACACTCTCACCGAACCATGATATCTCAAGCTCATTGGCGTAATAAGAAAATAAGAAAGCACGAGGTTCTGTTATAGTTCCTACTTCCTAGGCCTAGCAAGTTAATTGGCGTAATATCTGGGGCTGCATGACTCGTAGCTGGTGCACTAAAAAAAGTCACAACCACTCCTGTTATGGATGCTTAGGAGACGAGATTTTACTTCTGATGGCTTCCACCTTGGACCTGGAGAATCCTTATTGCAAAATTTGCAGTGGGAGCCTGCGCTTCCGTGGGTTTGAACTTGTGTGGCGTTAAGGGAGGAATGCCGATGGCCTAGCTATGGTGGTGACATGGGGTTGGATAATGTGGCCCAAATTAAAATAGTGTGAGTTGTTTGGTTGTGATCCATGCTACAGTGTGGTGTTTTGAGCATTCTTTAAAGTGTGGATGAGTTCAATTCACAATATATCATAGATTGAGCTAAGACATAATGCAAAATAGCAAAATAGCAGTCACTCCTAAATCTCATGGATTGAACTGGCCACGACGAATGCAATCAATTTTCTATAGTTTTACAACAAATTATTAAGGAGGTATTTTTCCATTGCATTCACTACAAGAAAAATGGTCTAAGACGGCGGTCGTATAACCACTGCCTTAGATCTAAGGTGGTATGGTAGTTATTGGTCTGCCGTCTAAGTAGCTGCCGGCCTAGATCAAGACTGCCGCCTTAGATAAAAGAGACCGTCACCTTTGGTGGTTGGTCCAAGGCAATCCAAACTTCTTTAACGTGGCGATCTGTCAAAACCACCAGTGTTATTAAAGGCGGCGTTTTCGACCACCAGATTAGGTTTTGTAAAAAAAAAATGTTTGGTTCTTTAGGTGCGGTTCGAACCAACAGCTTTGTCCAGTTGACCACTGCCTTAGGTTTAGTCCAACTCTTAGGCGCTGGTCTGAACCGCCGGCTTAGATCCAGATGACCGTCGTCTTAAGTCTTGTTTATGGCTAATCCGATGGTTACATGATTGCCAGTTTAGATATATATATATATATATATATATACATTTTTTAATTTTTATGCCAGGTTAATTTGTAAAGCTCTAGGGCCTTTTAGTGATTTTTCTAAAAATAAAAGTCATTAATTTGTAAAGCCATCTCTTGTCCTACTATTACTCCCTTGCCTTCTCTTGGGCCTTAAAAGAATTGAATTTGAATTTCATTAATCTTTTTTAAGGTATGTCCATTTGAAATAGAGGATTTACATTTTCTTTTTTCTTCTTTTTTTTCTTTGCTCATGGGGCTACACAATGGGGGTAGCTCATTCCCCAAACCCATAACCCCAACCTAGGTGCAGGTGGGATTTGATTCCAAGTCTCTTTGCTATAACCATCAAGGGACCTTACCAACCAGCCAGTTGGCATCTTGTAAATAAAAGAACCACATTCAAAACCTATTTGATAAGGGTCATTCTTTCATCTTTATAAAGAGTTTTCAAATTCCAACACTAGATTTACTTCTTAGTTATAGTTGTGATGTTATTCAAAGCCTTTTTATCAATTATGCCATGAATAATGGGAACACTCAAGTAGTTTTCTTTGTTTGTTGATATTGGGATGCTAAAAATCTTATAAATCAATTTTTAAACCCTGTCCGACATTTTTTTTAGAAAGAAAAAATTGACTTTTTGAAATGGATATTTTGAATGAGACCCTCTCAAACATCTTGAGATTGGGCAAAAATTACTTATAAATCAATTGAAACGATAACCCAAAAATCATAATCAAAATTGTGGAGCCACACTCAAAATTTACATTTTAAAATCATTAAATAGTGACACTTGAACATACTTTTAAAAGTGACCAAATACCAATGATTTTGTTCAGTATTAATTAAAAGAGAGAAATGCATCTAACTAAAAACTCCATGAAATTTCAATTATAATTCATTATTAATTAAAAGAGAGATAAATACATCTAGCTAAGCATTCCATGAAATTTAAGTTACAATTCATTTAAAATAATCATCAAAATATCAAATTTGTCCTCAAATTCAAATATGAAAGCATTAACATAAAGGGGCAAAATTTGTCCAACTAAAATGCAGAAAATTTTAGGGGTTATTTGTACTTTTTAAAGTAGTATAGATATAGATTTTGAAGGGTAGTGTGAGAATATTTTAAGGGACAAGTGCAAAAAAAAAAAAAAAAAATCTAAGTGCTTACTCATTATACTCACCGTGTGTGCCTATTGGATTCTAACTCTTGTCCCATAAATACCCCATCAGCCTATCCTTAAAATAATTCAAGAGAAATTTCTAAGAGAACTGTTAAAATATTGATTGACTGCTTGTTCATGTGCTCACAAGGGTGTCCCATAAATACCGTCAACTCTTTGTTTGTTGACTTTTCCCATATTTTAGTTATATTTATTCTTTTATTAGATTTCTTTATTTATGTGGGTCATGGTTGAAGTATTACACCAAGCCCAACTTGAAAATTTTCGAGGTGATGCTTTTTTTAGGTCGGGTTGACAAAGCACTTTGATAAAGCAAATAAGAGAACCTATAACTAGGGGAGTGTTTTAAATTTCTTAGTTCATCTTGCCGTAATTTCTTTATTTTTTTGGTCAACAAATTATAATAATTTTTATTTAAAATTTAATTGATTGTTTTGTTGATTAACTAATTACCAATGTCATATGACCATCTAAATATAACAAAAAACAAATGATACTTGAATTGGACTTGGATTGGTTTTGCTCAATTAGGAATGTAGAGGTTCTTTTGCTTAAATTTTATTTTAGAAAGCCCGCGCGTGCATCACATGAGTACTATTAGTAATATCAAAAAAATTACTCTACAACAGGCACAGCCTAGCTAGAGAGACATTGCAAAATGAACGAGTTCACAGACTTCTAAATTGCAATAGAGCAAGAAGACTCTGTGAAATGTTTTTCTTCCCCTAATAGATCATATGAATGGGCCAAAAATTCAAGTTTGATCTGTTCACTTTAGATGAATAATTAATGTGTGGACGATGGAAATTGAATTGTTACAATTCTAAAACAACAAAGAGAGCATATCATGATACATTATATGCATATCATGCCTTTACGGTATCAAAGCCGTTCCCAGATACGAATGTTAAGATCAAATACATCGGTAGGACATATTAGGCGAATTGATACTGTTTTTTTTTTTTTTTACTTTTTTTTATTTGTTTTTTCTGAAACCAGTTCAAGGGTCTTGTTTAGGGCTCCTCCACCCCCTGAACCGGTCAGACCCCCAATACACCCATTATAGGGGCATATTGGAGGGGTCCTGGAACAATACGTGTCGATACTTTGAACCCTGGTCAAACCTGCTGATATTCTTGCAAAATACAAGTATTGATGAAGGTGATTTAGGCTCAGTTTGGAAGGAATACAAATACAAATTTATAGAGTATAAAACCTTGCATTTTGTATTATTATATATATATATTTGTACTCCCAAATTGAGCCTCAAGGACTTATCTAAATCTTAAACAACTTCCAGAGAGGATTAGAAATTCGATCACTAAGGCTGAGTTTGGAAGGAGTACAAATGCAAATATGTAGAGTGAAAAACCTTATATTTTGTATGCATTAACGCTGTATATATTTGCATTTGTACTCCTTGCAAACTGAGTCTTAAGGATTGAATAGGTTTTGCCAAATGCAAGGATTAAATGGTAGCATTTAGGTTTGTCTTTGCTTTCTTAGAGTGCAATCTTTTGTATCTTTTAATTATGTTTTTTTTTTTTTTTTTCTAATGGTTAAGATGACTGCCCTCCACCTCCGTTAAAGTTTGGAGAAAAAAAGTCCTAGCCAGATTTTTTATACATGTATTTAGCCATTTAGGTAAGGGTGTCAATGAACCGGTCTTAGATTGGACTCCATCCAAATTAAAATCAATTTGGATAGATTGAACGGACCAATAAGACATTGAATTGGACAAATCCAGACTTAATGGTCCAAAGTGTTTATTGGATTGAATTGGACCTGATTCATGTAATAAATTCATATTAGGTAGAATTGGATTGAGCCAATATCTGATCCATTGAAATAAGATAAAAATATAGGTATCAATGAACCAAATTTAGATTATAATCAATCTAAATTAAAACAAATTTGAACAGATTTAACAGATCCAAAATATTTATTGGATTGGACTAGTCATGGTCCATTTATAATGGACTCACATTGGACGATACCGAATGGGATTTTACCAAATATAGTCCAATTAACACCCCTATATATTTTGGTGGGATTCATTGAATACGTGGTGATTATCTGGATGAACCAATCTAGTCCAATTAAATGGACTAGTCATGGTCCATTTATAATGACTCATGAGTCATGAATCCGGTTTCCTCATCCAGAGTCCTGAGTCCAGACCCCTCCACCACAAAAAACAAAGAAGGTAACCTAGCTATTACAATTTAATACGACATTTCCAAATTCCAACCACTCATCATTATAGCAACCAACGGTACTGTCGGTTTCTTTCCAAAATCTGCTCGAGTAATTACAGGTGTAGGTGTAGACGTTCGATCCATGAAAAGCGAAGGTGACGGTTCACTTCCGGAAGATATCAGAATTAAGGACGGTACAGCGCCATAAAATTGGAGAAACAATACGAACAGGAACATTGTAGTTGTACCCGCAGTGGTAGCTCACCAAGTGTTTGATGTTTTGTATTCAAAACAACTGGGACCCCCATCCAAGGGAGCGATAGAACTATATAATCAACGGGACGAATTGGCACGATCCTTATTGTTTTATATTTTGCAGGCCGTAGGAAGTAGTTGTTTAGCAGTTGAGGTACCTCTGGGGTGTGGGCCGGTTGATATCATAAAACCCTAAGCCGGGTGATATCTGCTCTGCCGGGAGTGGTTTTCCGGTGTTTTTCCCTCTTTCCCAAACAAACAGTTTAGGGTGCAATTTTATCGTCTTCAACTTTCTTCATCTTCTGGTACTCTTGCTGAATCAACTAGCAATTCTGGGAATGGCATCGAGGGAAATTTTTGCCGGGATATTTCTTTTGGTGGCTCTTTACTGCGGAGTAGACCCCTTCAAGCATAGTGCCATCTCCGGTTTCCCAGAGTTCGAAGCTCACAAAGTGGATTTGCCTCCGTACTCGGAGATTCCTGCCGAGAGAGACAGAGAAAACCTGCTGCAAAAATCAGATATTTGGTCTTTCAACCAGGTTCAAGCGCCTGAAAGCGTGGTGTTCGATTCTCTAGGTCGAGGGCCATACACAGGAACCGCCGATGGTCGGATTGTTTTATGGAACGGCGAATCGTGGACTGATTTTGCTTTTACTTCCCCGAACAGGTGAGTGGAGTGAAGTTTGAGTTTATTTGCCCTCTGATTTTTGCCCATTGGTAAATTTATAAATGCCGCAAAGATATGATACAGGACGAACTTTGACCAATCAAAACCCCATGAATCTTGATGAATACCATCTATTGATGATTAAGATTTATGATGACGGTTGATTGATGACAAGTTTTTCCTATATCGTCGGCGTCGGCGCCGGGGATGGAGGAGGAGGAGGAGGTGCAGTATACGAAGAGGACAAGGTCGAGAGATGAGAGGGGAAACAATTTCGTTTTGGTATTTTGGAGCTAACGGGATAAACTAACGGTAACGGTTGTCCCGTTAGCTCCGCACGAGTTCAGAGGGGAATGCGTGTGGGAGGACACGCGGCGAAGCCCTATCGTGTGGGACTGGGACGTTTTTGGGGCGCAGATTTGAACTCCTTCTGTTCTGAACCCCCTTCTCGTTGGGGTCCCGCGGCCCGCGGGCCGCCGTGAGAACCAGTATTCTCTCTTCTGCGCGTAAGGTGCCCCACCCCTCCCAGGTCTTGAGTAGCAGAACCGGATTCCTGAACTGAGTCACAGTTCTGTTTTATATTTAATTTTGTAAATACTTAAAATGCTTACTGAATGTGCATTTCTTTTATGATAATTCTTTATTGGTGTCAACTCTGAATCGATTTGGATTCAGGTCAGACTTGTGTAACCCGAAGCCGTCCATCTTTAATTACTTGAACGATGAGCACATCTGTGGCCGCCCGTTGGGGCTTCGATTTGACAAGAGAACGGGAGATTTATACATTGCCGATGCATATTTTGGATTGATGAAGGTCGGCCCAGAAGGTGGGCAGGCAACACTACTGGCCACAGAAGTCGAAGGGATTCCGTTTGGCTTCACTAACGATTTGGATATTGATGATGAAGGGAATGTTTATTTTACGGATAGCAGCACCAAATACCAGAGGAGGTAGGTGGCAGCTTCTTTCTTTCTTGCATGGCATAGATGTATGTTGCAACAGGTGGTCTGATGTGATTTGAATGAATTCTGGCTACAACATGCTTTCTCCCACTTTGCAGGAATTCAGTTTGCCGGAGGAAAGATTGGTAATAAGGGTTGGATGCAGAGCTCTGTGATGTGCATTTAATGAAACTTTATATGCACCGCACAGTGTTCGATTGTGATTTGTGAAGTTGGGTGTTTTAAATTGGAATTCTTGATTAATCCCGTCTCTCGTCTCAGATTATTTTGTTTTATACAAGTTAACAATGTTTCTAATTAACCTGGTCTTAATTTTCAGGAACTTTTTGTTGCTAGTTTTCTCCGGTGAGCCTGATGGGAGGCTGTTGAAGTACAACCCAGTTACAAAAGAAACGACTGTTCTTGTTCGGAATCTCCAATTCCCAAATGGGGTCTCCTTGAGCAAGGATAAGTCCTTCCTTGTTTTCTGTCACGGACACCCTGGCAAGTAAGTGCCCTCTCAATTCAAAATGCATTTTATCAATTGAGCATTTCTCAAGTACTATGTCTGAAATTGAAAACATTGCATATTTAAACCATAACGGCAGAACTTACCTGGACGGGGTTGATATGGGTGGTGATCACGTTAAGAGGCCCATGGCTTAGGAACACGACTTGTCGACTTTATTGTGCTTTGGACTAGGAGGGTGTCCACTGTCCACAGAGGAGAGTGCATGACTGCATGTCATAATTTGTGATAACGGAGGTGCACGTTTGTATTGAAACCAGGAATCTTTACTATGGTCATTGAGATTTGAGACCCGTTGAATCGGTGGCAAGGTCTACCCCTTCGGCCTTCGCTGAGTTATCGAATTTGTTTATTTTTTACTTCATGGGGAAGTTGCTATACAACTAAGGATAGGCAGTAGCCAATCCCCGGTACCCATGAGTCCATGACTCCACTAACTCTGATGGAATGGGATTTGATACAAGTCTCCGCTACAAGCCTACAACTAGTTAGATAACTTGATCCTTTGATTCAGATGGTTGACCACTGGTCCATCCTTCAATAAGAAAAAATGGTTTTTAAAACATTGATATAGTAACTCTGTGGACCAAACAGGATGGTCAATCTATCTATGAAAACCAGGAATCGATAGGTATTCCTGATCCAAGTTTAATGAAGTTTTTTAGCAGTCTGGATCTTCTACCCACTAGACACTATAGCTGTACATTGAGAATATCTCCTGTATTTGAATGTTACCATTAATAGAGAGATGATCCTGATGAACACCTGCAGTGTTTTGTGGGTATGATTCCTGTGAGTAAGAGATCTGAACACGTTTTTTAATGAATTAATCGGACTAACTGCCCTGTTAATCAATAAAATCGTAATTTATTAAGATTCTGGTTTTTAGTCTTGCCCAAATCTTATAGCGTGTCAAATTTACTGGATTAATCGAACCGATCAGTATATATATTTATATGTATATTTTTAATATATATCACATATTTTCTCTATATTATATATAAATATATATGCATTATATATATAAATATATACATATATTATATTTATAATAATTATATATTATATATCATTTATTATTTATAATATAACATTATACATATATTTATATCCAAAAAAGCCGAAGAATTGAATTTGGTTTGTGAGGCTGATGTACTTAGAAATCAGCAACATACCGTGGTCTCTGGTGAGTGGTGATCAAGCTGAGACTGTGGTTCGTGAAGATTGCAATTCTATAGCAGTAGTGTGTTTCTCTTCTTGTGAGTTGGAGCAGCATATAAACAGTTTGGAATCCGTCTTTTATTGTCAGTCCCAACTCTGAGGATGTAGGTGGACTTAGACCCGGATAGTGCGGTTTTTGATGCTCTGTTGAAAGTCTTACCTCCCTGGTTGTAGAAGGACTAAAGGCATCTCCGAGTTTTACGACGTGAGAAGCTGCATGTTTAGCAGCTTCAGCTGCTTTGGTCTTGGTCTGAGTTTCTTGCGCCTCTTGGCTTCGGTTGTATTCTGGTTGGACTGTTCCTTGGTGTCCTTATAGGACTGGATCCAGGTCTTTTAGTATACAACTAGTATGATTTTCTCTGGTTTTTAATAAATTATACCTCTATCTTCTCTCAAAAATATTACTCTCTAACTCTCCTTTCTCTTGACTTTAGATTAATGAGATATTGGTTGAAAGGTGACAAGGCAGGGACGACGGATGCATTTGCCATCCTACCTGGATTTCCAGACAATGTGAGAAGCAACGACAATGGTGAATTCTGGGTAGCAATTCACAGTCGTCGGACTATGTATGGCTATGTAAATGGTCTTTACCCCAAGCTGAGGAAATTTTTTCTCAACCTACCGATTTCAGCCAAGCTTCAGTATCTGCTGACAGTTGGAGGCAGGCCTCATGCTATGGTTATCAAGTACAGCTTCGAGGGGAAAGTCCTGCTGGTGTTGGAGGACAGTCAAGGGAAGCTAGTTAAAGCAGTGAGTGGTGTGGAGGAAAAAGATGGGAAGCTATGGATAGGGAGCATATTGATGCCTTTTATTGCAGTTTACCATCTCAAATGAGGTAATAATGGGTTTACTTCTTTTTCTGATGAGTGATTAATTGAAATTATCCATCCGTGTTGGTAGAAGACACTAAGTTGGCCTTGTTGCTCTTACATAGGCCTGGCATGTTTACCTGCCATTCTCCTATGTTGCTCCTGGTTTCTAGTCTGAGTAGTAGAAAGTACAAATATAACTAGTTATGCATCCTATTTTATTGTCATTTGATGATGCAAGGGAACACACAAGCTGCTAAGCCTGCTATTTTATTTTGTCTTGATAAAAACTGAGATAGAACAAATCCCCTCTCTAGGGGTATTTACGGGTTGGTTCGGTTCGATTGTAAGCTATTAGGTCAATCGAACCAATCTAGTCGGGTTGAGGAGTTAGACACCCAGAACCGATCAACCATTTGTGAAAATCGGTCAACTTGGATTGCATCGATTTGATCAGTCGGTTCAAAAGATTTAAACTTGTAAAATTAAATTTAAAATTTTAAAAATTACAATAATATTACTAAAAAATAAATTAAATTTTTTTTAATTTATAATTTATAATATAATTGGTTTTGATTGATTTACAAATGAGTAAACTGAAACTGACCAACTCAGGTCTAGTTGTTCATCCGTTTCATGAACAGTCCTACCCCAAATCTTTAATTAACATGGTCTGTGGACAGAGTCTCAGACTTAACATGCATGACTCTGGAGTAGGCAAATAAGTAGTCTTCTTTAGTCTGTCTTTTTTGGCCATCTTAGATTGTTCTAGATCTGGTCCTGGTCCTATAAAGGCCTTATTGGTCGGGTTCTCTTACTAATATTCATTGATAATCCATTTATCTGATTGTGATATTATCCGATTCCATTTGATTTAAATCTATATATTTATACACGTGTAAAATTTACATTACATCTATTAGTAAAATTTATATCATTACTTCAATTTTCATAAAATTTATTTTCAATGCATTTTGCTAATGATGTTCAACAAATATTGAACTCATTTTATCAATCATATATATTTTGGTCATTTTTATTTTTGTTTATTAGGCTCAATTTGAAAAGAGTACAAATATTAGGGTTGCAAATGGATCCGATCGGATTCGAATCAGAATATATTTGAATCTGATCCGACACTGTTCATGTTGGATTCAATCCGATTTCTGATTGGATCTGATAGGACTCAATTTGAATTTGAATCCTATCAGTAAGTCGGATCTTCGGATTGGATCCAATCTGACTTGTTTTCTTTAAAAATTAATAAATTCTTAAAAATTAAAATATATTGATTTAATTAAAGTAAAAATAAAAGTACAAGTATTTTTTAATTATTTTTATCATATATACATGTTATTTATAAAAAATAAATAACATAACAAAATTATAACACACACACACATATATATATATATATATATTGCATCCCTAACAAATACAATATGTACATTGCAAATACATAGAAAATAATACAAAATACAAGGTTTTGTACTCCACAAATTTGTATTTGTACTCCTTCCAAACTGAGCCTTAGGCTGTCTTTGGTTGCAATGCAAATAAATCAAATGATTTGAGTGTAAATTCTGACATATTTTTGTTTCAAATTTTAGCTTTTGTTTGATTGCAAAATCCAAAACAAAATTAAACAAGAAATTGCATTTTTTACATTTGCATTCTTAGGCATTTGTACTCGTGCAAATAAATTTGCACTGCAACCAAACACAATGATATTCAATAACCGTATCAAATTTAGACTTTGCTTATTTCAATTCGATTGGATCCTTTTGCAGTTTTAAGAATGGAAAACATCTTCTGAGAAGTACGGATACATACATGCAGAATTCTGAATTCCAGCCCCCCCTATTATTGGCCCTCTCCCCCCATAAATCACATCGTGTCCGTGAATTTAGCATTAATTCACGGTCAGGATGCATTCCCCTTGTACATTGAGGCTATAAAATTCTGATCTGTGGTATCTAATCAGCGTTTTATCATACACACGATGCAGAATTCTGAATTTCAGCCCCCCCTACAACTAGCCCTCTCCCCCCTATAAACTACATCTTGCCCGTAAATTTAACATCAATTCACGTTCACGTTCAGGATGCATTCCCCTGTACTTTGGGCATAGTAAATTTTGATCTGGGCTGATTGGTACAAACGAGCCCGGATCCCACCCACCTCATGGTCCCAGTAAACGATCTATTGTTCAAACGAGTCATCGCAGCCACGTGTATACGGAACATCTCATCATGATTCATGAAAGACAGGAAAAGATATTTTGTAGCAGTTTATTGGGATTAGATCCGAACTAACAATTTTGACATGGATTGTTTTCGGAGCCTCTGGGAAGAGTTTATAAGGCGCGTCCCATGTGCAGATCTCAACGTGCATTAAGAACATCTCGTCGTAATTATCATGTGAGATATGTTGGGATGCTGGCATGGCAGCTCCCTTTCTTTAGACGTGTTTAAAAGACAAAAAAAGATATGGATTAGATAGCGTGTCATAGAAAGATATGATATCGAGTGTTTTGACCAATCAAAACCATTCATGAATTTTGATAAATAACACTTGATCGGCTATTAAGTTTATGATTCCAGCTGATTGGTTACATATCATATTTTTTTCATATCATAGTTTAACTTTTTTTTTTTTAACATTCTGTATAACACGTGATGACAGGTGTCCAGACTCCAGATTTCAGAAAAGGCAAAAGAAACAAGAAGAATGATCGTAGGGTTGAAAATTAGTTGGTGGTCGATCGTAAAGGTATTGACAACTGATCGGTTGGTTGATATCAAAGCCGTCCGCAACGATTTTACTAAAAAATAATAAAAACAACTGAAAATAATTGAGAGGAAAAGGGGGAGATAAAGACGCCGCTTGAAAGCTGCATGCAATCTCTCCTGCTTCGTTTCATTTCATTTTATTTATATTACTTATTTACAGTGGAAAAATAAAGAGAAAAGAAAAAGACTATTTCACACCGAGAGACCCCGGCGCTGCCACATGCGAAACGTGTTAAGACATCCGACCTCCCTGACCAACACTGCTGGCACATACGACACGAACTTGAAATCTTAAAGGTATAGAAAGTATGATAGGAATAGGATAACGACTTCCCTTCCCCTCCCTCCCTCCCCGGCGAAAATATATTTGCCCTTCTCCTTGGTCCTTGCCTCCTTTCTTTTCGCTTTGTTGCATTATTACTTGATGATGAACGGTGATGGTGGAGTCAGTCAGGGTAGTTTATGAAACGAGCCGGCGATCCATTCAAAAGTCGTCGTCCTCCTCTGTCGGTCAGCATTAATTACTATGTTCGTCTATGCTCCTTTCCCACTACCATGTAAAAGGGTCAAGAAGAAGAAAAGATCTCGTCGTCTTCTCTTTCATACTACTAATTGGTGGAATAGTAATAGCTTAGTCGTCGGAATTGGAGAGCATCCTATGGATCATTTGCTTTGTTTCCGCCTCGGCAACCCGATGCGCTCTGCTCCTCGCGTATGCTTCGAAGAACTCTTTGTTCTCTTTTTCCAATTCTTTCCACACTGCATTTACATAAATTTTAGTAATAGATTAAATAAAGCACTGTACTGCGTGTGTGTGGACCTGTGGAGAGAGAGAGAAGAAGAAGAAATTATCGCACCAGTAGAAGTAATTACAGGTTTAATATTTGCATGTTTAGAGAGGGCTTCTATGCACTCTTCTTTGGTCATGTAGAACAGGAGACACTTCTCTATCAGATGTTGCACCTACATCGTCATCATCAGTAGTCCATTATAGACACAAACAAAGAAGCATGATGGATCACAGTAAACTCAAAATCCAAAAAGGGAACAAAGGAACTTAATTTGTTCACCATGTGAATATAAGAAGCAGATGAATCCGCCATCGTTGCAGAGTACGTACTTTTCAGGTGCAAAGGAAACCGAGAGAGGAGATTGGAGAGGAAAGAAAGAAGGAAACCAAGAGAGAGAGAGATGGAAGGAAAGAGAACGAGATCTACTGTATGTATGTGTTGTGAATTGTGTTGGTCTCTGAAGTGTGCACGTAACTATAAAGGGTCATAGAGGGGTTAGGAGACAAACTTTGGAATAAAAAAAAAGAATGCAGTAGAGAAAAAAAAAAAAAAATATATATATATATATATATATATATATATATATATATATATATAAAATAAGAAAGGGGCTGGGGCCAGGAGTCCCACGTGGGCGATAGATGATAATTGGTGGAGAGGAGATTAGGAAAGATTTGTAAATGGCCAATCTTTTATCTTTGTTGCAATAGGTGGACAGTGGGCGCCACCTTCACGTGAAGCGTGGCTCCTCGGCAAAACCGTCCAGTCTAGTCAGACACACTCAGAGTCAGAGCAGGTTCCTTTTACAATCAGAACTTATAAGAGTCGGAACTCGGAAGCCAAGCTCTCTCAACCTGCCTTACCCAGTTACCCCTTCTCCCTTCTCCGTGGTAAGTGGGCCAGATGGTAAATTCTCTGGCTGGTTGTAGACTAGACTAAAGGGCCCACTGACCATTTTTTATTTGTCGCTAGTCAAGTACTAACATGGTCATCGAAAAGGAAGTCCAACCAATGAACCAAATAGAGAATATAGAATATGGTTCTATATTGTATACGGCAAATAAAACAAGAAACTAGTAGGAAAAAATTACCATAATTGAAAATTATTTGAACGTCAACAAGGAGACCTCTAACTGTATTTGTTATAGGGCACGTGACTGATTTGTCTTCTTCTCTTTCATTGACCAGTAATCTAACACTGCAAAAGGTTAAAAGTTAATCGTCAAGCATTCCCCACGATACAAAAAAACAACCAATAATAGACGTTGTTATCAAAAAAAAAAAAGCCCCAATAATAGACGCCAGCATGTAAACAAAATAGATTACGTTGCATCCAATATTTTGATGTTACATTCTCACTTCTCAAAATCGAAATTAATCCGCCCCTACATCACACCCCTTAAGGCCTTGATCCTCGTTTTAGTCCTGTCAATCCCCAAATTTCTTTTTTTTTTTTTTTCATTTTAAAGATTTCAAGATGAGTTGGATGGGAGTATCAATCCAAATCCATTGATTAATAGTTAATACAATGAGAAAGTGTAGAGCCGATAAGTAAAAGAAAACAGATATTAGAGTGGCCCAATGTGGGTGTAGGCACGAAGGGTGATTCAAAGAACATTATTGAGATGAATGAACTAGTAGCTGTGATGGAAATCAGATTTTCATTCCCCCACAAAATTGATCCTTACACCCACCCACTGCAGCCGTGTGCATTCCCATGTTCTCAATATTCGGCTGCAAGAGGGCAAATTTTGTGAGGAAATCCAATTCCACTGTGATGGTCACTTTGCGTCCCTTCAAATATGGTTGTGTAGGATCAAAACTCATCTCATGTACTCCATGCCAAGGCCTGTGGGCTTTCACGTGCCCCTGCTTTGACCTCACTCCTTAAATCCCATTGTAATACTGGTGGTATGGTAGTGAATTAGTGATGTTTCACCTTGTGCTTGTGGTGCCAAATTATTGCATAAGCGAAATCCATGCAAATCTGTTATGTATATACCTAGCGAGAAGGAATTTAAGCTTCCAGATTGGTTAGCCAACATATATATATATATATATATATATATATATATATATATATATATATATATATATATATATATATATATATATATATATATACCTAGGGAGAAGGAAATACAGTCAATGATTAAAGAGATGATTGATGGAATGTTGCTGTTTATATAAAGGGTAATTTTCCAATATTCTTTATAAGAGATAATTAGATGCACGGGTTTTATTAAACGAAAGCTAAATAATAGAAATGGTCAATTACTAAAATACTCCTTATAATTTCATGGATTTATTAAAATCTACCTTATAGTTAAAATTTTACTAAAGCATCACTTATAGATGATAGTGGAAAATGACAATGTTGACCATAATGTTCATTTAAATAAATTTAATCAAAGGAAAATAAAAAGAAAATATCATTTTTTTCCTTTATAAGACACGGGCAACCACTATATTGGTTATATTTGGTTAATTTTGTTTTCTATATAAAAAAAGTGTTAAGGGTATTTTTGAAATAAAAAATCATGGGTCTAATGACAAAACAAGCACTCCTTAATGAAAGGTTGGTTAAGTAAATACGTTGTAAAATATATGGGATGTTTAAATAAAATGAAAACTATAAGGTAGGTTTAAGTAAATATGTAAAAGTATAAGATGCGTTCTAGTAAATGACCCTAATAGAAACACATAAGAGTATACAATTGTTTTATTTTTTCAACTTTTTAAATAATTAATAATTATTCATATTTTATATACTACTTTTAATACMTTTTTTATAATACAAAAATAAYAATAATTAATTTCAGTTAGGTTTATTCATCAAACTGATGAACCCGATCAACTCGATCTGAGTTGGTCATTTTCTAGTATTTTAGGTTGGATTTGATTCAAAAATTTCCCAATTCGACCAAGTTGGATCAATTTCACTTTGGCTAATTGTAAACCAACCAAAATCGAATGACCTAACCATGGATATATATTAATATTTTATATTTTAAATATAATTTTTAATATAGAAAAGTGGGAAGTTTCCCATATTTCTTAGTCTAAAATGTTTTATATCATAAAACCGATAAAACTTGAGTGGGTCAATTTTCACAAAAGGTCAGTCGGTTTCAGCTGACCAACTCCCCAACCGGACCAAGTCAATTTGGTTGGCCAAATAGCCTATGACCAAACCGAGCCAAACCAACTCATCAACACTCATAATTTCAGCTAAATTAATAGTCTCATTTCTAATAAATAACAATAGTTTAATCTCCAATAATTATTGAAAATTTATAGCAAACATACACAATTATTGAAAATATATTGATAATGAAAAAAATACAATAAGTACTAAAAATATATTGACTTAGTCAATAAATAGTATAATCTCAAATAATAGTTTAACCTCTGATAAAGATTAATCAATAAGTAATAACAAAAATACAATAAATTAAATTTTAAAATTTCAATAATAGTAGTTTAATCTCCAATAATTATTGAAAGTTTTCTGTTAAATAACAAAAAATAAATAAATTTATACATAATAATTGAAAATACATTTATCACAAAAACAATAAATAGTTACTGAAATACAATAAATATTAATTTTAGTATATATAATTGTATAACAAATACATATGAAGAATTTAAAATTATTATTAATAAATATTAACTTTTTTGAAAGTTATTTTCTCAAATTATTTCTTGTTATATGTGAACTTAGTTATTTACAATATTATGTAAAAATAATAAATTATTATTAATTTCAATATTATGCTATAATTATTTTTCTACTTTTCAAAAAAATTTTAAATTTATTACAAATTCTTTATTTTAACTATTTAAAATCTATTTATGTTAAATATTCTGTTATTTAAAATACCCAGTTATTTAAATACTTAATTATTAAAATGCCCAGTTATTTAAATACTTAAAAACTAGTTATGATAAATATCTAGTAATTTAAATTTTTAAATAATCTATAAAATATTTAATTTTTTTTATTTGAATTTTATTTATTTAAGCTATTACATATTTTTAAATGTTTGAAAAACATTTAAATCGACGATCTGGAAAAACATAATTTAAATTTTTAGTACATAATTTCGTGATATATTTTGTAAAAATATAAAATTATTTATTAGCTAAGTTTGTTATTTTAACTATTTAAAATATAGTTATGATAAATATTTAAATAATCTATAAATTATTTAATTTTTTTTTGTTATTTGAATTTTATTTATTTAAAGCTATTACATATTATTAAATATTTGAAAAGCATTTAAATTGATAATCCGGAAAAACATAATTTAAATTGTTAGTACATAATTTTGTGATATATTTTGTAGAAATATAAAATTATTTTTTGTGCTTTTAATAAATATTTTAAAGTTATTATATAATTTTGTCAGACTATTTAAATAATTCTTAACCTTTTTTAATCCAAACTTTCTTTAGATAGATATAGATAAAAAGTAGGAGAGAGGATAAATAGGAATTAGAGATAATTTAGGAGAGAAACTGTCTACTAAATTAGAGATAATTTTGGAGATAAATAGGAATTATATATAATTTAGAAGATAAATAGGAATTAGAGATCATTCTGGAGAAAGTGGGGGAGGTAGTTTAGGAGAAATTTTAGGAGAAGAGATTATTTAGGTTATTGGGAAAGTGCATCTCATTGTTTGTTTCAAAATGGCATGGAATAAAAAGAATAAAAAATTCAAAAAAAGGAGAACATATATATATATATATACGTTAGGCAGAAATGAAGGGTTCATTTTGCTCAATGTTTCTTAAGTGGGGATGACTGCATTCCTTCTCTTGTCTATTTAAATCCCTAATGACAAGCACTTTTGTCTAGAGACACAATTAGAAAATGTTCTTTTGCATCCATCAAATTCAAAGATGTTATCTCTTCTGGTATTACTGGATTGGCACATGGCCATATCCTCTTAAAACTGCAACTAATACTAATCTTAGCCTCTTAGGTATAGTGGATTCATTAATAGCAATCCGTGAGAAGTGATGAGAACCCTAAAATGTTCTTCATTAGTGAACTGCCTGCAGCAATTTGGTTTGTCTTTGCTTAGAAATGGGCCTCATCTTTATTCCACAGAGTTGCTCAATAATTGATGCATGCCTACTGGATATGGGTCCATGGGATCTCAGATCTTTGTGGTGTTAGCATCTTGTCTTNATATATATATATATATATATAAAGCACATCTTCCCACATTTGAAAATTACTTAATGACAATAAAATCTTCAATCAAGGGAATGAGAAGATTAGAACAAGAAAAAATATAAATATGGGTTCCCATCAAGAGGAACGGGACCTTTGTTCAGAAAATAATAKAGAAAGAAGGCTCTTAGAAAAGAAGAAAGTACATATACCAATATACCATCCACTCACGAGTAAACCTAGCTACAACACTAGTCTTCAAGTTTTTGTAGGATCCTCCTTTTGATCAAACTTTCTAAGCCCATTTAAGCAAAGCAATTTACACCATTTTTTAAAGCATGGGAACATGCCATCAGAATCTTGGCTTCAACTCTAACACAAATATTCAAGTTACATGAAATATACCTACAAGAGAGAATGGTAGGCTTTATCTCATTCGCAAGAGAGTTCCAAAAGCAAAGAGTTAGTATTCTATTTATTTCAAATATATGAAAATTAATTTATTTGAATTTGTCATCACTTTTTCTTGTATTTGAATTTATACACAGAATTTCTATTGATAGTATGTTACTAATTTTTGCAATTAAAAATAGTAAAAAGTTAATTAAATGAATATATCATAGCCTTGGCCACCTTAGAGTTGATTTTGAGCCCAATTTATTAGATGAATTGTGCCCGGGCTTAGTAAGGCCCAACCTAACTTGGACCTTAATTCTTACCTCCCATGACACAATGCCACTCTCTAGATGGGATCTCTATAGGCAAAAACTTTGTGCACACTCTAAAAGCATGGGGATTCAGCCACACACTCTAACAACAAGAATTTAAGGGTTTTCAATGGTGTGTATCCATCTTTACTAATATGCAATGCACTAGAATGTATCTCTACACTACCACATAGGATTCCAACTAAGAGCTTGGCCATTGGATTGTTTCTTCAAATGGATAGATGATGGAGGAAACATCCAATGGGTAGAATATATCTCTACACTGCCACATAGAATTCCTATTTAGAGCCAAGTCATTGGACTATTCCTCACCCCTTGGATTATGTTTTTGGTAGAAAATAAAAATACTTTATGATGGTTCTTACTCAAAACAGGCTCAACCAGATAGAAAAACCACATTCAACACCACCTTAATCCACTATAGTGGAGACTATAGAATCTAGGACTGATTACTTCGACCCTACCTGAGCAATTGTAAACAAAATCCTATTAATCTCCTTGGTCCACTTTAATTGGCTAGAGATCAATGGGTTTTGAGACAAACAAATAAAAGATCCATTATTAGTCAAATCCGCATATAAACTTGATACCGTCCCAAGTCGAGCTAGATGAGTTGAGGCGGCTCGAGTTGGTGAGCTAGATGAGTTAAATCGGATCTAATAACGTTTAGTTTGGAAAGACTCCCTGTGGAGAAAGACTCCGACACTCAAAGTCGGTAAGGTTTAGTTTGGAAAGAGTACAATATACAAATATGTACAATATAAATACATACAAAATATAAGATTTTGCACTCTACATATTTGCATTTGTACTCCTTTCAAATTAAGCCCAAGTGAAAGAGGGGGTATCAACTGGACCATGTTACACTAAAGAGCTGAGTTAGCTGTATGAGTTGAAGAGTGATAAAGTGATAAAATGCTTAAGTTGAAAGAATAGAGACTCTTACCTTTGGTGACATACCCTTGAATTCACATCTGCACCCCACGGAAGGTGCCCCACAAATGCCCCATAGCATATCCCAACTATGCATTGGGAACATCTCCCATTAACAACTTTAAGAGATGCTTCCAATACACACTGACATTGAGATGTGCATGTGGGGCATTTGTGGAGCACCTTTTGTAGGACATAGATGTGATCTCAATACCTTATGTAGACATTTGGAGAACCATCGTACCTCTTATTGGTGGGACGCATGTCATCATCTCAAACAGTCCTTGGTGAAGTCATTCCTTGATGTGGCCTAAACATTTCATCATGGGTTGGGTGTATCGTATTATATCTTTTGAAAAAGATATGGTCCCAAATGCCTGTTTCCAGATGTTTTGAAATTCCATTTTTTTAATAATAAAAAACATGTTTTTAGCTTTCCAAAAACCAAATTTTGAAAAAAAAAGTATTTTGACCGTTTCTAAGTACCAATACAATATGACCAATATGTGTATCATATCAATACTTGGAACCTTTGTAAAGAGTCTACAGATCGTGAGCATAAACAAACTTATCTGATCCAATCCGATTTGAATGTTTTATCGAATATCCAATTAAAATCGACTAACTAAACGGATTAACTTATCCTATCCAATCCAATTGGCCAATTTATTAGGATGAAAGGAAATATTCGAATCCAACTTTAGATGGAATTCAGATTCCAGTAGTCTCTGATCCCACTTATTTGCAGCCCTATGTACCCTCACCTCAACTCGATGTAGTGCCTGTGCCCTTGTCTAATACCTCAGCCCAAGTTTCCCTTAATTTAATCTGTGATGAAGGAACTCTTAAGAATGACTATGGTACTTATGGAATATTTGTCTTATTGGATAATAACTGGAAATTTTCATGTGCTATGGGTAATCTGGTTGAAAATATGTACGACTCAATGGAAGCTGAACGTGTTGCAGTTACTCAAAGCCTGCTTTTTGTGACGGAGAACCATTAGACCAGCCTCACTATATATACTGATGCCAAAGGGCTGGTTGATGCCGTGGAAGGCGCTCTGGATTTTTTTTACTGTGGTCTGCAGCACTATTTAGACAAAATTAAAACTCTTATTTCTGGGATCTGTAAATATTTTATATGCTCCAAGGCTTGCCCATCCACTTTATCGATGGCAAAAACTTCAAACCATTTTTTTTTTGTAGTTGGGATAATATTCCCAGCTGGCATTTTAATTTATCAAAAAAAAAAAAACTCAATGTAGTGACATAAAGTAAGACCACAACAATCCATGAAAGGTAGGGGTGTAATCGAACCGAATAGCTAGCTATTCAAGTTTGGCTCGCCAAGGTAATACTAGGCTCGAATTCGGTTTGGCTCGAGCTCGATTTGAAAAAAAATGTTTTATAAAAATATTTTTTATTTGATATTTAAAAATTAAGAATTATAATAATTAGTGATTATTATATATAAAAATAAAAAATATTATATATAATATTTTTATATTATTATTATTATTAGGATAAATTACAAAGACCCCCTTTGTATCACCGTGAGACAAAGATCCCCTTCCCCAATTTTTTAATCCTCATACTACCCTTATAATATCTGCGGCGGCGGTAGCTGTTGCAGCGGCAGCGGACTTCCTTGAAATCCTCTCTCTTCTTCTGCCACCTTCCCAGCCTTGCGAGGATTGCAGCAAGGCTGGCTCTTGATGCCAACAATGTCCGATCAGCAATCGGAGACAGGATTTCAGTTATCATGCAAAATTCAGCCCTCATGCTCGTTGCTTGCACAGTTGGGTTCATTCTGCAGTGCCGACTGTCCCTCGTCCTCATTGCTGCATTCCCTGTTGTTGTTGCTGCCACCGTTTTGAAGGTAATGAACAATTCAAATAAATAGATTTCCTAGGCGCGTTCTGCTGCAAATTATATTGTATACATCAAAATCAGAGCCAACACCATAAACTAAGCAACATAGATTAAAAGCAAATGAAAAACCAAGACCAATTAATCCCTCACTAATCAATCAATCCAGACCAAGCAATTGAAGTAGATGAAGCGAACGCAGTATAACAATTTCATTGCAAACCAAGTCGAGAAAGACAACAAGAAACCTACTCCACCTTACAATGAAAACAACCATATTCTCTCATATCCGAAATCCTAATTCCTTCTTTCTCTTTTCAAGACGAAAAGATTCCAAACTAAACGCAGGGAATCCTGTATAATCAGGAAAAGGGAAAGGGTTTCTTTTCCTTCCTCTGGGGGAAGCTTTTCTGGGTTAACAATTTAGCATTCACTTGGCGAGCATGTGCTGTTGAGCCTGGTTCTCCTGCTACTGTTGGTAGTTGAATGGCCTCCTAAAGAGCATGATGCATGGCTCGGGACGATGGATCGCGTAGTGAACCCATCCTCGACTCTGCTGAACCCCGATCGCCCTCCATTCATTCTGATAAACAAAATACAAATCAACACTCATTTTATGCTTTCCATGAATTCTTTGAACCATGTCTTCAATTAGATTTGATTCTTCGTTGTTTCTCGTTCCTATTTACTTCAGAGAGAAGACGATTCTTCGGCAGCAGTTTGGCCACTTCAAAGAGGAAGAACCACATGCCTGACAAAAGACACAATCGAAGAAATTTATGTAATCCTGGTGCGTAACTAACCATAACCAAATCGCGAAAAACGTAAAATGGATTAGATTTCTTCATGATCCCAGAGAGGAATTTCGATACCTGTATTCGTAAGTGTCGTCGAAGTATTTCTCGGAGTACTGGATCTGGCCCATATCTATTTTCTTGGTTCAGTCCTATTTTAGTCGCTAGTGGAGGAGAAGAGGCCAGGAAACAGAGAAGAACTGACTAGATCGGTTTATTGATTTTGGGAATCAAAGAGGGAAGAAAGAAAACACAGTGAAGAAGGAAGATGAAGCGGGTGATGATGAGAGCAAGGAAGAAGAAAATTCAAAATTTTCACCTAAAGAAGCTCCGTCTCCGTCTCTCGATTTGCTAGAATTGAGGGAGTGTGGATTCTATCTATAAGACTATCAATAACAGATCAAAAAAGGGTTCTTCGAGAAGCTACTGAACCGTTTGGAACTAGATACCAAATCAGAAAAATGCATCCAGGAGGCCCTCGATCGTGCTTGTTCCGGGAGGACAACAATCGTGGTTGCACATCGGCTGTCAACGATAAGGAATGCCTATGTCATCGCTGTGATCGACGATGGGAAGGTGGTGGAAAAAGGGTCTCACTCGCATCTCCATCTGCAAGGAACGGAAAATAGGGGAAATCGGAAAGAAGGGGAGGAGAGAAAGGGGAAGGGGAGAGAGGGGGGGTTTTAGTCGTGAAGAGTTCGGCTCGTGGCCACCCCTAATGGAAGGTCGTGATTTTACAGTTTTATCCCAATGCTAGCTGATTTCTTCTCCCCTATAAAACAAAATATAAGGAGGGATAGGCTTCTAAGATAAATACAGTGATTTAGTGAGGTCAGGTCCTCAAGTGAAAAAAAAAAAATACAAGGAGGTCCTTATAACTTAGTAAAGAGAAAATTCTACTTTAGTACTTTGAACTTTGGGGGTAGGGGTGGCAACGAGCTGAGTTTTTCATGAGTTGTTCAAGTTTGAGCTCGAACTCAAAGTTTTTGTTGCAAAACAAAGTACAGAAGGGGGGTTTTGTCGCAAAACAAAGTACAAGAGGGTCTTTATTATTATTATTATTATTATTATTATTATTATTATTATTATTATTATTATTATTATTATTATTAGCTATTTGAGTCGGCTTGCGAGCTGAGCTTTATTAGGCTCGAGGTCGGTTCAAAGCTTAATTGAAATTGGGCCGAGCTGAGCTCGAGTAGCTCGTGAAGAGCTCGGCTCGTGGCCACCCCTAATGGAAGGTCGTGATTTTACAGTTTTAGCTCAATGCTAGCTGATTTTCTTCTCCCCTATAAAACAAAATATAAGGAGGAATAGGCTTCTAAGATAAATACAGTGATTTAGTGAGGTCAGGTCCTCAAGTGAAAAAAAAAATACAAGGAGGTCCTTATAACTTAGTAAAGGGAAAATTCCACTTTAGTACCTTGAACTTTGGGGGTAGAGGTGGCAACGAGCTGAGCTTTTCATGAGTTGCTCGAGCTCAAGCCCAATTCAATGGCTCGATTATGAAACGAACCAAACTTGAGCCTAGTAGAGCTCGGCTCGTG